ACAAATGGGACCTTATTAAACTGACAAGCTTCTGCAAAGCCAAAGAAACCATCAAGAGAGCAGGGAGACAGCCCACAGACTGGGAAAAAGTATTTGCCAACTCTAGGTCTGACAAAGGCTTAACATCCTGGATCTACAAGGAACTGAAGCGTACTGAAAAGAAGAAAACAAACAACCCCATTATAAAATGGGCAAAAGACATGAACAGACACTTCACAAAAGAAGACATTCGAGCAGCCAACAAACACATGAAGAAATGCTCAACCTCACTAATCATCAGGGAGATGCAAATCAAAACCACACTGAGATACCACCTAACTCCAGTCAGAATGGCAATTATCAACAACTCAAAAAATACAGCTGCTGGAGAGGGTGTGGTGAAAAGGGAACACTTCTACACTGCTGGTGGGAGTGTAAACTAGTGCAACCTCTGTGGAAAGCAGTGTGGAGATTCCTAAAAGCTCTAAAAATTGACCTTCCATATGACCCTGCAATCCCCCTACTGGGAATATACCCTGAAGAACACAAATCACTCTATAAAAAAGATACCTGCACACGTATGTTTATCGCAGCATTGTTCACAATAGCAAGAACCTGGAAACAACCATGCTGCCCATCAAAAGAGGACTGGATTAAAAAAATGTGGTACATATACACGATGGAATACTACGCAGCCATAAAAAAGAACAAAATCATGAATTTCGCTGCAACCTGGATGGAACTAGAGTCTATAATACTGAGTGACCTCTCACAAAAACAAAAATCCGAATATCACATGTTCTCACTCATATAATGGACCTTGAACATCCAATGCAATACTATGAGAAAATGACGGATGGTACTGGGAAACTATGGGGGGGAGGGGGATGGGATTAACAGTAGCAAATATCTGTCGGGGGATGGGAAAACACTTTTTATTTACAGGGTGCCTGAATGAAACGTCATTGTACACCTACCCTTAACTGTACCCCACAAAACCATAATAAAAACTACTGATTAATGAAAAAAAAAAAAAAAAAAAGATATCCTGTGTTCATAAACTGGAAGAATAAATATCATTAAAATGTCCATATTGCCCAAAGTTATCTACAGATTTATTGCAATCATTATCAAAATATCAATATCATTTTTCAGAGAATTAGAAAAAGACAATCTTAAAATTTGTATGAAACCACAAAAGACCTCAAATAAACAAAGTAGTCTTTGGGAAAAAAACAAAAAGTTACTGACATAAAAACAGATACATTGACTAATGAAACAAGGTAAAGTGTCCAGAAATAAACATAAGCAATTAATCAACTAATTTTCAACAAAGGTGACAATGACCCACAATGGAGAAAGGACAGTCTCCTATATAAATAGTTCTGGGAAAATTAGAGGGAAACATAGAGACATTGTTCCATGACATTGGTCTGGGCGATATTTTCTTGGCTATGACTCCACAAGCACAGGCAACAGAAGTAAAAATAAACAAACGGGATTACATCAAACTAAAAGCTTCTGCACAGCAAAAGAAACCATAGAGTAGACAGACAGCCCATGAATGAGAAGAAATTTGCAAGCCATACATCTGATAAAGGACTAATAACCAAAATATATAAAGAATTCAAATCAATACGAAGAAAACACCCCAATCAAAAAAACTGAGCCACAGAAGCACAAAGGTGGAATCGGCAGAAGCTGGACACTGTTAGGGAAGCGAGGGAGGTGGGAGGGAGACACGTGTCGACACACTGGGTACCTGGTTCACTGTCAGGTATCTGGTTCACTATAAGGCTAGCTAGAAGCCCAGATTTCATCTGCATGCAGTTTTCTTATGTAGTAAATACTCACTCGTATCCTACAACTCTAAAAAAAAAAAGGAGGACGGGGCAGGAGCAAAGGACCTACACAGACACTTCTAAAAGTGACCAACAGGTATAAGAAAATGTGACCAACATCACTGATCTTCAGGGAAGTGCAAATTAAAACTACAGTGAGGTATTACTTCATAACTGTTACAATGGTTATTATAAAAAAGACAAAATATAAGTGTTGCCAAGGATGTGGAGAAAAGGAAACTTTGCATACTGCTGATGGGAATGTAGATTAATACCGTCATTAGGAAAAGCAGCATGGAGGTTCCTCAGGAAACAAAAAATACAATTACCACAATATCAAGCAATTCCTCTTCTGGGAATATAGTCAAAGAAATTGAAATAAGTTGCTGAAGAGATATCTGCACTCCCACGTTCATGGTGGCATTATTCACAATGACTAGGTCATAGAAACAATCTAGGTGTCCATCATAGATTGAAAGGATAGAGAATGTATGGTATATATACACAATGGAGTGCAGTTCAGCCTTTCAAAAAGGAGAAATGCTGTTCTTTGCAACAATATGAATTAAACAGAAGGAAATTATGCTATGTGAGCTTTTTGAACTGTGAATAATACTAAGGAGGATGGCAACTTGTGTTTTTGTCTCTTTGGGAGTTAAGTCCAGGTGCCTGGCAGTAAATTGTGCCTTCTTGCTTGCTGCAAAGATATGAAAAGTTTCATTTTTCCTTTGTACATAATTGACTGACATATATGCCTTATATTGCCCTTCTCTTTTCTCAATGCAATAAACACACAGCACTGTAGACACAAACACCCACAAATACTGAAAATATCTTCCACAATTATGACCTTGTCACATCAACTGGCTTGGCTTAGACTTGAATATGCAGAATGAAATGTTTATTTATGACACCAACAATATAAAATTTATAATTATTATAATTATGCTTTTATTTAAGTACTAACTACATGTCAAATTCTGGACTACATGTTTTTCACAAACCATTGTCTGCTCTCCAGGTCCAACAGACTTTGTCTCAGGCTATTTTATGTTCTTCAAGCCACTGAATTCTCCTAAAAATTACTTACAATTTCCCCTCAAAATCATCCACACTTTCCCATCTCCTTTTCTCCTAAGAAAGAAGGGTATATAACTTTTTGTACCCTATCATGTGGTGGGCCATCATAAATATTGATGCAATCAATCAACTGCAATTAATAAAACGCATCAATCTTTATGATGGCTCCTACCACTATTTTCCAGATAAGAATCCCAAGGCTATACACATGTAAATAATTTATCCAGGTTCCAGTGCTCTAATGTAGTGGAGAATTGAACCAATCTGACTCCAGAGTCTAGTTTCATCACTAGGTGATTCTGTCACACTAGTCAAGAAGGAGGCCATGCTACATCAAGTCTGCATCCTTTCCAGCTGATTTCCAACTACTTGGTTTGCTGTAGATGCTCAGTCCATGTAGCCCTGTTTGCCATCTTTTTTAATGCTGTTAACCCTTTCTTTGTTTAACCCAAGGATACTTGCTGGGAGTGCTTGTAGGATTCTCGTTAGGATTAGAGAAAAGTTCTGTTTAGAAATAACTCCAACAGTTTTTATAATTTATTTTTACATTGAAAACCAGTCAGATTTGCTTCAGTTTCAAAATTAAATGGATGCGGCACTGAACTGTACTTTTTTTTTTAAACAGGCAAAGGTTAAAATGGTGTGACATAATGAAAGTATTCTGTTCTGAACATTAATGGGCTTAAGTTTCTCTTACTGAATTGCCTTGATAACTGTTTAATCCTGAAAAAGTTTCCTAACTTGTCTCAAACTCAGTTTCCACATCTGGAAGCAGGGCATTCCCTATGCCATAGGAGAGTGGCATAAGGCTCTACAAATATAATGTATGTGACTAGCTTCAGAGAAATCAGCAGTCCATAGTGTAGAGATAGCCTCAAAATACGTCTCTCAGGAATTAAGATGTTATCTGGCATAATACGCAATCAAAATAAAATTGGTTAGTAAAAGAAAAAACTAATAAAAAACATTTTCTCTGTGTCTTATATTATTAGAAACAATGATATAGCCTAGATTTAATACTACTTATTTATTTATTTACCTACTTATTTAAGAGACCAAGTCTTACTCTGTCACCCAGGCTGGTGTGAGTAATGTGATCATAATTCACTGTAGCCTTCAACTCCTGGGCTCAAGGTATCCTCCTCCCTCAGTCTTCTGAATAGCTAATTCTTACATTTTTTTTGGAGAGGGTGTCTCTCTGTGTTACCCATGCTACTCTCAAACTCCTAACCTCAAGCAATCCTCCTGCCTCAGCCTCCCAAGTGGCTGGGTTTATAGGTGTGAGCCACTGTATCCTGTTTAACACACTTCTGCATTTATAAGAACGAGTCTTTTTTTCTCCCATCAATTTTCCCAGTATACTAGAATTTAGTAGTAAGAGCTGAGTGCAAAAACCATCTATCCTCACATTCAGCCTGAATACTCAGAATGGAAACCAAATCTTTCTAATCATATAATTTCCAATTCTACTCTCTCCATTAGCAATATCCTGATTTCTTTCCAATTCTAATCAGATCTTCGCTTTGAAAGACTCTCACATTAAGTTTCAATTCTCAGTAAATTTTGACCTTGCTTCCCCCCCTGCAGGCCAAAGCCCCTTTGAGGAGGCAATCTCCCTTAACTAGGTAAGCAATGAACTTGGCTTTACCACAGGTGGTGCTGGTGACAGTGGGGAAGTAAGCTTTCAACAAAGTCTATCGCTTTTCCAGGACCTTATGGATTTTGGAAACTGCAAAACCTCATGTAAATGTAGATTTCGTGACATAGCAAATCACTTGCAAAACTCGTATTATGCATATAACTGACATTATAAGTGATTGTATACCTTTCTGCTGTTAATTATTTCATAAACGTTTTCAATTTATAATTAATAATAATAGAACAAAATATATGAATCATATTTGATTTTGATACAAATAATTCAAATCCATCAATTCACATATTTAAAATTTATAAATTAGGATTTCATCCCCCAAATAGGAATTCAAAACTGCAATTTTATTTTTACATTTAATGGCATTTCTTTTAATATGAGATATTTTGAGAGTTATTATTTGAACCCCCAATGGTTAAATCTAACTTACTTAATGGAAGTCTTACCTTTTCCAATTTTGAAAGAGCAAGAGAATAACAGTCTTTGGCTCTGAATTGCATGAATCTCATGTTGGCTGGGTGAGTAAGTTCTGTGATAATACTTAGACTGGAAAACAACCTACATTTCAAAAGAACATTTGCATTACACTAACAATCCAACATGGTACTTTTTGTAACAACATATTTATGAGAGAGATTTCTAGCCTTAGGCATAAAACTATATCCAATTAAAACAGTAGACAGTATCACATAAAATGTTCTGTACAATGCAATAAAAATGAAACACTATTTTCCAAAGAATATTTTAACCAACATTTTAATACGGTAAGAAAAATAAATTCAGTAATTTGGCTTTTATTACACATTTTCTCTCTTTAATAATAAAATAGCATAGAAGAGAAACTCATAAAGCTTATTTAAGAAGTTACAAGGTTACATTGTGGATGGTATTGAAACAAATTGATAAGGTAAATATGCTGATTGGCAAAAATTTCACACAATGAGCTTGTTTCGTTATATGAGCTCTTTGATATCCTATAGCTGCCTATTCTCATGGTATGCAATTTTTATTTATTTTTATTTATTTATTTTTTGAGTTGGAGTCTCACTCTGTCGCCCAGACTAGAGTGCAATGTGCAATTTTTAAATGTCAAATCTTGCTGCAACAAACTTCTGAGAAGTGACATTATCTTAATTTATAAAAATTTTATTGCAATAAATTGAGGCTAATGCAAAAGCATTGAGTGTTCCTTCAAAAGTATCCTGAGGTCCGGGCCCGGTGGCTCAGCCTGTAATCCCGTGCGCTTTGGGAGGCCGAGGTGAGTGAATTACCTGAGTCCACGGGTTCAAGACCCACCTGGGCAACTTGGTGAGACCTCATCTCTACAATAAATCAAAAAATTAGCCGGTGTGCTAGCGCACGCCTGTAGTTCCAGCTACTTGGAAGGCTGAGGCGGAAGGATCGCCAGAGCCCAGCAGGTCGAGGCTGCGGTGGCTGGGAGCGGTTGCTTCACTCCAGTCTGGGTGACAGAGTGAGACTCCAACTCAGAAAAAAAAAAAAAAGTATCCTGAGAATTTTCACGTCCCAGGGCTTTGCACTGGCTTTCTTCCCATTTGGCACTTCTCAAATATACACAAAACTTGCACACATACACACATGCTCACACAATAATTTTTTTTTTCCAGAGAAAAGGAGCAAGGTAATATTACCATAAATGCCCTTATATTTTTCCTATTGTTGATGATCTGATCCTTGCCTGATATCTGTGCATCAATGGTAGCTTTCCTGAGTCAAATATTTTGGTATTCTCTGTGGCAAACATTCCTTGCAATAATCAGCTTTGTTTCCCAATATGTTGTGTCTTTAAACTAAGTTATGGCCACTTAAAACTCCCACTGCTGGGTTGAACCCATCCCTTGAACTCAGAGACTAGAACTGAATGAAAATATGCAGAATACAAATCGCCTGTTTGTGACTCAAAAACAAATCAGCTCCTGCTGCTCTAGCTTTTTAGCTAGTTCCAGGGGTGGGGACGCTGTAACTTCAACGTGCCTGAGTGCTTGACTTGGCGCCTTATACGCCTTCTTTTGGAATGGGAGCCTTGTTCGTGAACTCCAGAGCCACAGATGAGATTTTGCCTTTCCTGAGGTCTCACTTCCTAATGCTGATGGATAGCTTGTTAGGTCTGCTCCCTCCTGCAGGGAGAGTGGGCCTGACTGCTCAGCAGCCTGCGGTGACTGTTCCCTAGCCTGTAGCTTGCCTCTCAGGTCTCTTTCCACTGGGCTTTAGTCACCATTCCAGCTAAGACACTAAAACGTTCGTAAGAACAGTTTCTTTCAGAGTTAGCTGTGAACTTTAAGCCCTTTAGGTGATGTCACCTAAATGGAATAATATTTGGGCCATACCTAATCAAGGCCTTTGAGAACTATTCTATCACTGGATATTTTGTGAAATGCTCTCTTTATAACAGGAAGAAATATAATCAGTATCACATGGCTTAATATTCCGTTTGAGAATAAGTATTACTATATTTCTTCATTTAGATAAATTATAATAATTGTGATTGAAATAATATAATCAAAATGACAAGCAGAATATAATAACATCTTTTGCTGAATTTTTTTTTTTTTGAGCTGGAAGTTTCACATTGCAGCCTAGAATGAAGGGAAGTGGCACGATCATGGCTCAGAACAGCTTTAAACTCCTATGCTCTGGTGATCCTCCCTCCTCAGTTTCTCCAGTATTGAGACTATAGGCACACACTCCTATGACTGGCTAATTTATAAAAATTTTTTGTAGTGACAAAGTCTCCCTATGTTGTCCAGGCTGGTCTTGAACTCCTGGGCTCCAGCAATTCTCCAACCTCAGCCTCCCAAAGTGCTGGGATTTCTTTCGTTGATTTTTTATTTTTTGAGTTGGAGTCTCACTCTGTCGCCCAGACTGGAGTGCAGTGGCCGCTCCCGGCCACCGCAGCCTCGACCTGCTGGGCTCTGGCGATCCTTCCACCTCAGCCTTCCGAGTAGCCGGAATTATAGGCGCGCGCTACCTCCCCTGGCTGATTTTTTTATTTATTGTAGAGATGAGGTCTCGCTGCCCAGGCGGGTCTCAAACCCACGGGCTCAGGCAATCCACTCACCTCAGCCTCCCAAAGGCGCGGGATTACAGGCTGAGCCACCGAGCCCGGCATGTTGATTTTTAATGTTAAAAAAATTATAATTTTGTTTGCACAACTGATCACTTTTTCCAATAGCTTTGTGACTTTGAATTGGTTAAGGAAACACTAAATCTCAGATTCTGAAAAAGAGGGATGTCGTGAAGCTTAGAGATATGGTTTGGAAAACAGCAGTATCTGAGACACAATAGGTACGATTTTTTAGTTTTAGTGGTATTGTTATTTTCTTAGCTTTTTTCCTTTTCATATGTTGCTGCTTCATCCTAAAATGCAAGCCCTTTCCTGTTTACTCTTCTCTTCAATCTCTGTATTTTGAAATCCCAACCATTATTTAAAGTTGGTCTCAAATCCAATTAAGACGGAATTTTTAAAACATTTGATAAAGTCAGAATTATCCTCTCCACTTTGGTCCCCTGGTATTTAATTCATACTGCTTACCACATGCATCTTGTCTTACTTAGCACTCTTGTGGGTTTTATCCATGCTTTAGCTGTCCTACTAAACTAGAAAAATAGTTTTCCTCTCACTGCCTAGTACTGCATCTTATATTCCTTCAATTAATAAATCTTTGTTAAAATAAACAATTTATTAAGTCTTGTTTGTGCATCAAAGATATTTGGTTTAGTAAATAAAATCTTGATGAAGAGGATGCTGAATTTAGCTAGATTTGTTTGGGGGAAGCACTGTATTATCTATATTCCACATGACTTTCTTTTAGCAGTTCTGTCTTTCTCATTCAAAAGTCACCAATGATAGTACAGTCTATAAATTAAAGTTCCTTTTTCAACTCTTAAAAATTAGAAGGGTGGCCTGATAGAAAAAAAAAATGTCAACTGACTTTTGGGATGACAAACTCCATCTGGTGGGCCTAGGAAATGCCACCAACTGCAAAATCTCATACCATCTGGGAGTTTCAAAGTTATTTATTTAAGAAATATGTTAAAATAACAATATCACTGAAGATATTCTTCATAATAAGGGTTGTTATGGACAGTGTTCAATAATCTGTGACAGCAGAAATTAAAATGAATAACAGTACCAAAATTAATCAATGAATGTAAGTCCTATAGCCTGATTTAATAAATCCTTTATTCATGCCCTGAATTTTTAAAAAGGAAAATTAACTGAACTAATGTTCTCCTCTGTTTTTTTTAAAATTCTTTTGAAAGGGTAAAAAATGTTTGTACAATGATAATATCTAGAATTTATGAAGGATTATTCTAAGAATTGTCCGTGTATTAACTCATGTAATCTTCACAACATCAGGAGGGACCTTTCTGGCTTTCTGTATCCATCTATACCCTGTCCTTCCTTGGGAGGAATTGAGGGAACTTGGCTCAACACGGACTCTTGTCTTTTCAGTATCTGCAGACGTGTGCTGATCTGTGCCAGGCAATGAGGTGACCTCAGCCCTCCAGGGCAAGCCTTGTGGTCGTTCAGCACGGCCCCTGACCATGGTATTCGAGGTTGGATTTTAGAAGCTCACTGTTACCATCCACTAAACTCATATCCTCCTGCTTGATTTTAATCTTAGGCTGCCCGACTTCTTTGGATTCCAATAGTTCCCAACTTGTGTTAGAAATCAAGAGGCTTACGCTGCCTCCTCAAATGGCAGAAAACTACTCTGTGATACTTAAAATTATTAGTTTATAGATGAGGAAACCGATACACAAAGAGACAAAATAACATATTCAAGGTAACATTTCAGCAGGTGGCAGAGCCTGGGTTACACCCATCATTCAGGTTCTAAAGTATCCCTTTACCATTATAATAAAGAGGAAGGTAGACCATTGGAAAGCAAGCACAAATGATCCAAATAAAATAAATTATTAAAGCTATCTAACAAAATATTGGTGTTTCATATATTAAAAATCATCTCTTTTATTAAAAAAAAAACCCAGTATTTTGTAAACTCTACCTCTCTATGTAGCCCCTAAATGAATAAATGAAGTTTATAACTTCATTACTGTTATTTGTATTTACAGAGGGCAATATTTAGTAACTAATCTTAATTATCAAGCTTTTACTATAGCAAGCTCTGGTCTCCAGGAGATACATATATATGTATAAAGTAAAATTTCTGCCTTTAAACACTAAATAACCTATCAGAAGAAACAATAAAAATTCACAAATTATAAGGCTGCATATCTTTTCCTAGGGGTGATAAATTGAAACTGATTGAATGTTCTTAGCTTAAGTAGTATTACGGCGCTAGTTAATGGGCAGCTCATGAGGAAGACCTAGGACAGCACTGAAATATAAGGCCAGAGAGGGAATTTATGAGAAAAATGTAGCTATAAGCTAATGAAAATTTATTTCAACTTAAGGAACATTTTTATTTTTTCTGAAAAATATGGTTCTTATCTTTAATATATATCATCATTCTTACTATTGATGAATTTGTAACTATTTGGATTCTTTTTTTATAATCTTTTTCTAACACATT